CACACACACACCGGCTGCTGTGTTAACTTCCTGCTAGCTGTTGTGTGGAGGTGGTCTTTCCTCTCCCGGTCTTGGCAGTAAAAGGGGATAAATGTACATTTCCCTTTTGTAACCTCCGTCTTCTCAGTTCTGATGCTGACTCTTGAATATCCTCTGAAATGCTGATTACAAACGRGAGCGTGAGCTTTTATAGATAAGTTTTCCCTGTAATGCTATGATCCACTGCTGTCACCTCCTCATCAAGAGGAAAAAGGATAAAAACTAACTACTCTATTGTACCTACTGCTTAGTTGACACAACGACACACAAAAGAACTCACGTTTTATACCAGTAGATCACAGATGCTTTAACTTTTGTAACTTTTTCATGGCATAGTATTCGGAGCTAACGCTAAAAACAAAGGCAGTAACCAGGAAGTGGAAGGGAGGAGCGTGGCAAGAATTTTACCAGAAATACGTCATTAATGACCGTGGCATATAGGCTATTAGCCCTCAGCCATTAGCCCTCAGCCATTAGCCCTCAGCCATTAGCCCTCAGCCATTAGCCCTCAGCCGCTGCCAAGCATGAAAATTCATCTCTTATCAAACACCCACCTAAGATTACTGCAGGTAGAAACAATTATTCCTCATGCTAACATTGTAGACGTGTGTGTGTGTGAAAGCTTGTCTTTACTTTCAGTGGCAGGTTTCTGTCTGCATGCTCACCCCCCCCCCCCCAACACTTCATGAAATGTTTTCATGCAATGACCTCATCTCAGGTGTTTCTTGCATGCAGCAGTCTCTTTGCTCAGAATGAATCACTCTGCGTTGCCGTCTTTAAAGGAACTGCCTGAAGGCTCGACACTTTCAGGATGTTTGTGTGGATGTGCCTTTTTAATGCTGCTCTTCCTTCATGCGTGCGTGTGTGCGTGCGTGCGTGCGTGCGTGTGTGTGTTTGTGTGTCTGAAACGTTAAGGGCTCCTCTGCCAGCACTAATGGGCAAGTAAACACAAGGCAAGGAAATTCAGTCCTAGGGCAGCGTGTAAAATGTGTCTAACAYCTCCGATTATTATTCCTTTGCTTTCAACAACTTACTTTGCCCTTTTCTTAGAAAAAAACTGCTTTAAGCTTTTCTCACGTTAAGAGTCTCGATAAAAGCCAAGAGCGTGTTTGTTTTTTGATTCATCGTTTTTTTATTGCGTGTGTGTGTGTGTGTGTGTGTGTCCCCACACGATTACTCAGTGCAGGCTGAGTGTGTAATTTGGAGCTGATTGTTTTGCTTGCTCATGTCAAATCCCAACATTATTACAAGTGGGACCATTGACTGGGAATCCAAGCGTTCAGTTTTATTGATGGAGCAGGGGCCAAGTAAGACTTGGGTTTTTATGGGAACCTAGATCTTTTGTCAAATTGAGATAAATCAAATAGCAACATTTAAACTTACTTTACATTCTATTGGTGAATTTTAAGCACACATTCAGCTGATGTTTTCTTTTTTTTATTAATTGAAAGCCTTGTGGCTTTATCTCAGGTTGATTTAAACACTTAATTCTCCACCTGATATTAAATTACACACTGATGGTCAAAGTAAATTGTGTGCTGGTGCTTTAGCATTCATTTGATGCACAATTAAAGCAGATTCTTTAGATTTTTTGCTGATGCTTGTGTTTTTATGATAGTAATCAAAAGTATAAATGGTGTGTGAGTGAGGATAAAAAAACATCCTGGCTAAACGATTCTGTTTACTCGTGTGAAGCTAGATATAGTGTTGTACAAACAACTATGCAAAGCCTAATTACATTTAGTACAAATACTTCAGCTTTTTTCCAAGCAAAACAACAACAAAAATCCTAATGGGTTGTGTTTTTTTGTCAGCTGTTTTTAATCCCTTAAAGGGATCCCCGATTAGTTGTAACATTAGACTTTATTTGGTAAACATATACTTTAACTGTAAAATAAAGACTGTAAAAATACTGTAGGTTGTTCAGTTTTTATAATTTTTAAATTAAAAGTTAAAAAATATATTATACGGACAGGGCCATTTTATTTACATGCAAAGCATTCTGGGTAAATTATGACATCAACTAGGGCTGTGTCCAAAACGGCAGGCCGGGTCCTCCGAAGGCCGAATTTGTCGGCCGCATACGTCACA